AATTATACAAATACATTTTAAATAAACCAAAAAACTAGCAATATAATTTTCTACTGACTTTTGAATCAATGTATTCCATAAATAAGATACTTGGACTACAAGGCGAAGTGCACTTAAGACAATTTACAAAATGTGCAGCAACAAAAATCAACAAATATCCTTAAATACAAACCTGCAAAGTTGTGACACGGCTGATTCGTGACCACGGCAAACGAATGAGACAGAGGGAAGAGTCAGGAGAAATGCGCGCGGCAACAGAATCAGGCGAATACTTTACAGATTGACGGCCAAAGGTACCCAAAAACTTGTGAATGTGAAGATCCACGATGCCGAACTGGGTGATGAGGTTTCTTGCCAAGTGGACGATTGCTAAGCCGTTGCGAGTGCACAAGATTGATTTAAAATGAAGATTTTGGACTGAAGATAAGTGTGCCGGTATGTGATTGTATTCAAAATGCTCCGCAAGTTTAGAATATTTGTTCTGTTTGTGAAAAGAAAAGGTTCCTCGACGCTTACTCAAATTAACAATGTTTTGCTTGCTCAGACAGAAGGAATTAGTGCATTCTGTAGGTTTGCTGTATGGGCATTCGATTGTATTATCACTAAAGTTATAATATGCTAAAAAATTCGAGCTTGATATCCATTTTACCACTATATTTCTTCCGCCAGGCTTCCAGGGAACAACTATGCACGAGCGTCCACGGTCGTCCGGTCACTCGGGAACATGGCTGCAAAAATTGATCCATGTGACGCTGTGATTCAGCAAGTTTGCTTTCTTCGACACCCATTCTGAATGCAACAAGTTAGACTTTGCAAAATCTAAAGCATGGAAATAATTATGGGAGACCCCGAACCTTTAAATGATGCATAAATTACAAACCTATTAAAATACAGCAACAAAACAAATCCTAGAAGAAATTACAACTAATTATATAATACTGAAAATTAAAACCGAAATTTACGCTAGAAGCTCTAAGTTCGTTGTGTGCATAAGTTCCAAATGAGCAAAGATGAGCTATGTAATAATTACATTTTTTAAAACTGTACTTCAACACTTGTCTCGGCAGCTAATTTAGGATTGTAAGTGCTACAGTACAAGAGGCAACATGTTAAGCCTTTTAATACATAAAAAATTTTAGCTGCACGACAGTACTCCATATGTTTTACAGTGAGATTGTGTGCTGCTTACGCGTAGGATGGTCGGTGTAGACGAAGAAAAGTCGAAATGCAATTTCCCTATCACTGGTATATTATTTTAGAGCCAAAGCCACATGTGAACGTGTGTATTTAATTTAATTTAGTCAGAAATAGAGCCTTGAGATTTCACAATACGTAAAAGAATGCACTAATTTGGGCCGAATATATGTATTCCAGGAGGAGACTAAGTTGTAGGGCTTTGGCTTAGCCTGAAGACCACATGCGTCCAGGCGAACAAAATTCGTAAAAAAATTGGCAGACGTCAGATGGTTTCGTAAATGAAGTGCTACGTTCACCTTGTCTGGCTGAATATACTTAATGAAATCTGCTCAATATTTTCTGCTAGTGAACGGAAGTATCGTGGCACTACTCCTGCAGCTTCTTAATGTAGCTGTGATGCTTTGTTTATTTGACTACATGAGGTTTGGCGGTCGCTATAGAATTTGTCTAGCCCTTGTACACGTGGGCTGGTCTTCGGGCCACGCGCAGGCCCG